AGGGCTGGCCGCAGGTGGAGGCTTTCCAAGCCCGGCCAGACGACCTGCTCGTCGCCACCTACCCTAAATCGGGTGAGTGGCCCTGGGGAAGGGGGCGGGGGGGGGCGGGAGACGCCAGCCCTCCCATCGCCGTCCCTGTGCCGCAGGCACGACGTGGCTGAGCGAGATCCTGGACATGATCTACCAGGACGGTGATGTGGAGAAGTGCCGACGGGATGCCATCTTCAACCGGGTGCCCTTCCTGGAAATGAAGGCCCCCCAGATGCCGAGCGGTGAGCCCCCCAGCCCGGCTGCCCCCCTTGGGCTGGGTGGGGAGGGGGCTGAGGCGGGGTGAGGGTGCTGGGGCTCACACCGCTAAGCCCCCTGTCCCACAGGCGTCGAGCTGCTGGAGAAAACCCCATCCCCGCGGCTGGTGAAGACCCATCTCCCCATCCAGCTCCTCCCGACCTCCTTCCAGGACAAGGACTGCAAGGTAACACCGTGGGTGCTCCCTGCCTCTCTCCCCGTCTGGGTGGCAGGGAGGGGGCACTGCCCTGCAGCCCCCAGCCACATCTTCGGCTATCACCAGGTCATCTACATGGCCCGCAACCCCAAGGATGTCGTCGTCTCCTACTACTACTTCTACCAGATGGCCAAGATGCACCCCGACCCTGGCACGCTGGGCGAGTTCCTGGAGACCTTCATGGCTGGCAAAGGTGGGGGCTGAGCCCCAGGGTGCCCACCCCAAAATGCCGGTGGGGAGGGCATTCCTCGCCACCCCACTTTTCGGCTAACCCCTTGACCGCATCCCGCAGTGGCCTATGGGTCCTGGTATGAGCACGTGCGGGGCTGGTGGGAGAAGAAGCAGGAGAAGCAGCTCCTCTACCTTTTCTATGAGGACATGAAGAAGGTGAGGGTGGGATGGAGGGGAGGGTGCCCCTGTGGCCCCCCCCTCCCCGCCTTTTTGTCAGGTTCCCCATATCAGCCGCCCCACAGGACCCACAGCAGGAGGTGCAGAAGATCTTGCGGTTCCTGGGCAAGGAGGTGGCGGAGGAGACGGTGGCGAGGATCCTCCACCACACCTCCTTTCAGGAGATGAGGAAGAACCCTGCTGCCAACTATGAGACCATGCCCACCGCCCTGATGGACCACAGCCTCTCCCCCTTCCTCCGGAAAGGTGGGGTTTGGCCAGAGGTGGAGGGCTTGGGAGGGGTATCCCTAGGCTGTATTGCAGCCCCCATCTGTGGATGCAAATGTTTCAGGGGTGTCAAGATTTGCCCCACTCGCTTTCTCACCCCCAGGGATCTCCGGGGACTGGAAGAACCACTTCACCGTGGCCCAGAATGAGCGCTTCAACCAGCACTACCAGGAGCACATGGCAGGCTCCGACCTCCGCTTCCAGATGGAGGCGTGAGGGGCTCCGCCCCCTTTTTGGGGGGGCTCTGCTTCCCCAGCAGGGAGGGTGGGTCCAGACAGAGCATCCTTGAGCCGATTCGCTTTTCCCCCTGCAATAAATTGGAATAACTAGAGGGCGAACCGTTGGCTGCAGGGTGCTGAACCCCCTGAATCCCAGGCAGTGTCCGGGGGCACACCCATGCTCGGTGAGTGGGCCAGAGGGTGGGCATGTGGGGTTGATTTTTAATCTGTAATGGTCGGGCATCACTGGGGGTGGGCATCCTCCCAAATACTACCACTGGCCCCCAACACCTTGAGCTGCCCCAGCCCCATCCCACCAAGGTGCATGGAGGGAGCAAAGGTTGGCGGAGAGCAGAAAAAGCCCAAAGCGCAGGCGAAGCCGCTCCCTCCGCAGCTCTTGTGTGCGCGGGAGCTTTCGTGCCTTGGGGCTGCGGCAAGTTTCTTGACAGAGCGGGCGGTGGCGGGGCTCGCCCCGGGCTCCCTGGCCCAGCCTGTGGCTTGCGGAGCAAAGGCGAAGGGAAACACCTGCCTGCTGGCGTATTGCCACGCTCGGCAACACGCCGCCCTTGCCGGAGGGGGAACCCACCCCCCAGGCTCCGACCCAGCTGTGCTGAGCCCTTGCTCGGGGATGGCGGGAGCAAAGCAGTCCCCGTCCCGCTGAGGGCAAGGGTTTGCTTTGGAGCTCCAGATTCCCCAGTTATGCCCCGTTTCCAGCCTGTTCTTGAGTGTTGTGCTGGTTTTGGCTGGGATAGAGTTAATTTTCTTCATAGCAGATAGTATGGGGCTATGTTTTGGATTTGTGCTGGAAACCGTGCTGATAACACAGGGATGGTTTAGTTATTGCTGAGCAGGGCCGACACAGAGTCGAGGCCTTTTCTGCTGCTCACCCCACCCCCACCAGCAAGTGGGCTGGGGGCGGGGGGCACAAGAATTTGGGAGGGGGCACAGCCAGGACAGCTGACCCCAACTGACCACCGGGATATTCCACACCATATGACGTCATGCTCAGCATGTAAAGCTGGGGGAAGAAGAAGAAAGGGGGGACACACACATTTGATTGGGGTTAAACCACAACAAGTTTCCAAGACTGCAGCTTTTCAGCAAGGCAGTCTCGTGGGGTTGTTTCATCCCCAAAGAGAGGCAACCTGGATGCAACTCCCAAAGAGCAGCAGTGCCATGAGGGGAGCTCTCCCACAGGAATAAATCCCTTCCACACATTTATTTAAACGCCGATGGAGATCTCTGCACTTTGCCAGCTTCTGGCTTTGCCTGCGGGGTTTGCACACACAGCCAATTTTGCTGTCATGTGGGCAGGCAGGGAGGGCATGTCCCTGCCTGCAAAACACCCAAATGCCGGACACGGCATGTCCTGCCTCACCAGGAATTTGGCCCTGGGGACAAATCAGGGACCTTTTCTCAAGGTTGCAAACAGGCAAGCGGCTCGCCCTGCCTTGCCGCCATCTCTCCTGCCCTCGCCGTTCCCTCCTGGCTCGCGTTCACCCGTGGGAAGCAGGTAAGGGGAGCATTTCACCACCACCGGCGCCTTTAAACCCTTTTCCCAGAAGCATGATATCGGCTGCATTTGTGTTTTGCAACCCTGCAAGCTTTGGACCCGTATTTGAGCGCCTTGAGGGGAGGGGAGTGTGACCAAAGCCTGACTCCCATCTCCCACTAGGGAGCCCTGTGCCAATGTGAGGAGCTGGGGACGTCCACGGGGGTGACCCCCGGGTCGGGACAGGGTGATGTTCGAACCCCCTGGGACGTGGGTTGGGATTTCCTCCCTGCCTTTGCCTCTGCAGGCGGAGGGGGAAGCTTGTGTGTTTACCAGGGGGGTGCTGAGTACGGCACAGCTCATCACAGGCGCCTGGGCACCACCCCCAGAGGGGCTGCGTCCCCACTCCTGCTCGCCCCTTCCCTGCACTGCTCCCTCCACAGTGCCGGGTCGCTCCGGCTGCCTTCCCTCAGGATGTCCCCGGGCTTCCCGCAGCCATAGGTGCCTCCCCGTGCCTGCATCTTCCACGCAGGGAAGGAAAAATA